AACAGCAGCTTCCCCATACTTGAAAGATGTTTCTGCCACCAAATTAATGCAATTCAGGGCACCAGGCAACTTTGCATCTGGCTCAAGGTAAATTAGGCCAAAAGACTACTATGTACTGGGACACACACACAAAAAAGGAAAGCAGCAGGTACAACTAATGGCAATATCACAGCACACCAAGAAATTGGAATCAGGGTTTGGCTGTTCATTTTTATAAATAATGAATGAGGGCTGGGGATGTGGCTCAAGCGGTAGCGCGCTCGCCTGGCATGCGTGCGGCCCAGGTTCGATCCTCAGTACCACATACAAACAAAGATGTTGTGTCCGCTGATAACTAAAAAAATAAAATATTAAAAAAAAATTCTCTCTCTCTCTTTTAAATAAATAAATAAATAATGCATGAGTTTGGTCCCTGAACCCAGAGAGTTTCCTGTCATTAAAAGCTGTCTGATTATATAAGGCTTCTTATAAGTCCAACAAAACCAACTCAGAAGCAACACATATCAACTCACATAAACAAGAAATTCCCAAAGCAATAAAGAAAGAAGGTGTGTGGCGGGGTTCTGCAGCAGTCCACAGAACTGATCCACTTCATTACCTCATGAACTAAAAGCATTTCTTCAGTAACAAATATCTGCTTGAATGAGGTGTTTGCTGTAAAAAGACAGTATCACTTCAGCAGGTCAAAGGAATATTCTGCAATTTCAGAATTAGTTGAGTGGTTCTTGTTGCCACAGTGGGGGGAAAATAGTTTTTCAGTGGCAGAAAAGGCAAGAGATAACCCACACACACAAAAAGTACCCCCCACCCCCAATTTATTTGCTGTATCCTTTGATCAGGAGATCCCACAACTATTTACCCAACCCATTTTCCAAATCTAGTCTTCTAGCCACTGAGACATTCTATACTAATAGGTCCTCAAACTACTTGATTGTATGGACATTCTTTGTGCTTTTCTTAACAAGCTTAAAAAGAAAAATATTATGAGATGGCACATAATCTGCCTAGAAGCATCCCTCTCCCTGCCCAGCTACTTTTAGACTACTCCAACCCCCATCCATTTTAGATACAGAAAACAGATATCATGCAAATTGGTGGCAAGTTATTTTTTTGTTTGTTTTTGTTTTTGTTTTCTGCTGGAGACTGAACCCAGGGTCTTGTGCATGCTAGGCAAGTAGTCTACCACTGAGTCACTACTACTATCCCCAGCTCAGTCACTACTTTTTTATTATGAAGGACAGCCAACTTTAGGATGATGTTGATAATGTAAAGGCAAAGCATAGAGATGTAAAGAGTAGGGTCTTTAGAAATCATCTATTTTGCTGCTGAATTAAACCAACACTTTAACTAATAAAGTGCTGAAATTTCATTTATATGAGTTTTTTGTTGTTTAAGTCCACTTAACTAATTCCTGTTACTTATATCGAATATACCCAATAACCAGAAAATATATTTTTCAAATAATCCAGAATACATAAAAAGTTAGTCAGAACCTAATTCTACAAATACAACATATGCTACACAAAGCCCTGTTGTTTAGCCCTGTTGAATATAAAAATAAATTCAGAATAGCATACAATGGGAAGGGTATAGACTTTGAAACCAGACAAACCTGTATCCAATCATACATTTCTTTAAGCCTTAGATTTCTCATCTATAAAACATATGATATATAGGACTACAGAATTTTAAAATTTTTTTTGGGGGGGGGGGGGCGCGATACCAGCGATTAAATCTCACTGAGTTGCTTAGCACCTTGGTTTTGCCGAGGATGACTTTGAACTAATGATCTCCCTGCCTTAGCCTCCCCCAAGCTGCTGGGATTACAGGCATGTGCCACCACGCCTGGCAAATTTTTTATTTCAATGTAATTTTTTTCCCTGCAGTACTGGGGATTGAACCCAGGGACACTCTACCTACCACTAAGCTACATCCCCCGCCCTTTCTACTTTTTATTTTGAGACCTGTTTCAAAATAAAAAGGGCCGGGGATGTAGCTCAGTGGTTAAGCATTCTGGAATCAATCCTTAACACCCCCCCACCCCCCACCCCCCAAAAAAAAATAGAAGAGAAAGAGAGAAAGAAAGTCTTTACCCTCAACTGAACCAGAAAAGAAAAATTAGTAATGATCTGCTCATTGCGATATTTAGAGTGCAGGAGATTGCATCAAGAGTTTTAATTCTTCACTCTTTACTGAATCCATGCCCTTTGACATGTAACATTGGAATACACTTCTTTTTTTAAGAAATATTTTTTTAGTTGCTAGTGGATCTTTTTTATTTTATTTATTTATATGTAGTGCTGAGGATCGAACCTAGGGCCTCACACATGCCACGCAAGTACTCTAACACTGAGCTTCAACTTCAGCCCACTGGAATACATTTCTAATTTGGGCAAGGCATAATTCCCACTCCTGGGCTCAGGCATGTGACTTGCTTTGTCTAACAGGATGTTAGTCAAGCACACTTGAACATGAACAGAGTTGTGGAACACATTTATGTAAATAGACTGGATACTCTTGCTGATCCAGGATCACCCCTAAAAGAGTATATTCAAGTTAGACTACTGGTCCCAGAAGGAAGAAGAGAAATAGCTAGAGCAAAGCTACTCCAGTAAATCCCAGGATAGAGCAGGTCATCAGCTGACCTGCAGATGCATGAGTAAGCATGTGACCAGTAGAAGTGTCTAATCTAGCCAAATGGATGCAGTTGTGCACACCTATTCCTAGCATCTCAGGAGACTGAAACAATAGGATCACACGTTCAAAGATAGCCAACTTAGTGAGACCCTAAGCAACTTAGTGAGATCCTGTCTTAAAATAAAAAATAAAAAAGGGCTGGGATGTGGCTCAGTGGTTAAGTACCCCTGGGTTCAATCATTGGTACAAAAAAATTATAAACTCACTTCTGAGAAAAGACATACACAGAAAATCTTGATATAGAATGCTGATTAACGTGTGCTCCTTTGGAAAAATTAGTGAGCTATATTTTTCTTATGTGTGTGTTTTCTGTTCATAACTCAGTAAAAAGCTTTTAAAAACTTCAATGACATTAACAGAATAGAAAAATATTGACAATTTAGAATTCAGAGGAGGGACTAGTCACTGTTGATAATTAAAGTTGAAAACAGTTAACATGTATTAAGCAATTACTATATGTGCCGAGCACTGTGCTAAATAAGCATTTTATAATTCATACTCACAGCGTCCTTGCGAGGTCATCATTTTATCAGCAGCATTTGTCACAATTAATTATTCCCTCCTCTTGAAACACCTTTCTTTCCACCCCAAGAACATGCTCTTCTGGTTTTCTTCCTACCTCAATAACCACTCCTCAGTATTAACCTTCTCCCTACACTTTAAAAGCGAATACTCTAGGGTTCAACTCTGGTACTCTTCTCTACATTTCATAAAGCATGTACTATTATTCTTCTTGCATTCGACAGATTAAAACATTGAGGTACAAGCACAGAGATTCAAACCTAGGGGGATCAATCTAGACTTCAGAGACCATGCTCTTAACTTCCTCACCATTCCACCATTTTTTGGCCTTCCAGATAAGAGGCAGGATATAGTTATACCCATTTTGCATTCCAGTGCCTTTGGTAACAGGAAAGAGAAACAGAGTGAAGCATATAGGACTTTCCTTCAAAATTATACTAAGGATTACCAGGCAACAAGTCAGCAGGAAATTAAACTCTTACAAATTCTGTTAAACAAGTTCCCTAATTCTTCACTCTGTACTTTAGTAGTAACTTCTCAAGGAGGAATGTGAAAACATTCTAGAACATATTCTCAAATCTATATTCTTATTAAAATGATCTCAGGAGGTGTGGGGATACAGCTCAGTGATAGAACATTTGCCTAGTGGGTGTCAGGTGCTGGGTTCAAATCACAACACTAGAAAAATCAATCAATCAATCAATCTGGGGAGCTTTTAAATAAACAAATGGGGATGAGTACAGTGGTGTAGACCTTTAATCCAGGCTACTTAGAAGGCTGAGGCAGGAGGATCAAAATTTCAAGGTCAGCTGAATGGTAAAGCACTTCTGGGTTCAATCCCCAGTACCAAAAAAAAAAAAAAAAGGAATAGCGGGGTATAGCTCAGCACTAGAGCACTTACATAGGATGTATGAAATCCCAGGTTCAATCCCCAGTGATGCAAATAATTTTAAAATTATGCATGGAACCTATGTACCTATTAAACCTAGAAGATTCCAGGAATCTGTGTATCCAAGAAACTCAAGCATATTCTGAAGCTCATAACTTGGTACCTGACTTTGGGACACCTTTGCTCTAGAGAGAATTCTGTGGCCCTTAGAAGGCAAGTAATGACTATCACATATTTCTCTAACAAAGGCTGGAAATGAAATGAGAATGGAAATGTAATCTGATATCAATAAGTAATAAAACCAATTAGTAAATCAGAGCAGTGACTGTGGAATTCTAGAGTAGGACCCCAAACATTTCCTAGATGATCTGAAATTTGTTGCCAGGAGAGTTCACAGTTGAGTGATGCCTCCATCCCTCAGCTTAGAAGGGAGTCATCCAGGGAGCAGGGACAAATTTAACACTTCAACAGTCATATTCTCATAGTACTCACCACTACTATGAAGGAACATAAAGGTATAAAGGGATATGACCATTGTCCCAAGGGAATAGAAGAAAGCATTATCAACATTGTCTTTTTTTTTTTTTTTGGCACTGGGGATTGAAACAAAAGATGCTTGACCACTGAGTCATATTACCAGCACTTTTTATTTTTTATTTTGAGACAGGGTCTTAATTGCTGAAGCTAACCTCAAACTTGCAATCCTCCTGCCTTAACCTCCTAAATTGCTGGGATTACAGGAGTATGCCACTATGCCTAGCAAATACTGCCATTTTTGCATAAAAATAAACACACATATTTTGCTTACATACACACATAACACTTACTATACAACCATAAATGCTGAAATTAAGGCAAAGAAGTCACTTCAACCCACGTATTAAAGTCTTACCTCTGTAAGTGCATGCAACTGTCCTTCATGTACACATACACCCAAATACCTGAAAAATAAAATAATTTTTTAAACTAAAATGAAAAGAACATGAACATAAATTCCATATAGATAAACTAGTAGAGTTAGTTACCCATGCATCAGAAAAACCCAATACCTGTGAAACACTGTGGGTTCCTATTCAATCCCATAGCCTCTTAATCTTTTTTTTTTTTTTTTTAATGAAAGCTTTTTTTTTTTTTTTTTACAGAGAGAGAGAGTTCTTTTTAATATTTATTTTTTAGTTTTCGGTGGACACAACATCTTTCTTTGTATGTGGTGCTGACAATCGAACCCGGGCCGCACGCATGCCAGGCGAGCGTGCTACCGCTTGAGCCACATCCCCAGCCCGAAAGCTTTTTTTTTTTTTTAATCTTTATTTTATTTAATTTATTTTTATGTGGTGCTGAGGATCGAACCCAGGACCTCGAACTTGCTAGGCGAGCGCTCTACTGCTGAGCCACGACCCCAGCCCCTCTTAATCTTAATTAAAGTGCCAGACTGATAAAACTCAAAGTTTACCATGAAACATTAACATTAAAACATCTGGTTTTAGCAATATGTAGTTAAAAAAAAAAACAACTCACAAAACAATGATGGACATATGACCAAATTATCCCATTCCTTGGTATTTTCCCCTAAGGTGTACAATTGGCATACTATAGCAATACAGCCACTTCAATGTTTATAGCAGCACAATTCACAATAGCTAAATTATGGAATCAACCCAGATCCCTGTAAATATATATATAAAATGGATTAAGAAACTGTGGTATAGGGCTATAGTTGTAGCTCAGTGATAGAGCACTTGCCTAGTATGTGTGAGGCACTAGGTTCAATCCTCAGCACCAAATAAAAATCTTTTAAAAATGAAACTATGATACACATACACACACAATGGAGTTCTACCCAGCTATAAAAAAAGAATGAAATTATGGCATTTGCCAGTAAATGGATGGAAATAGAGAATATGATGCTAAGGGAAATAAGCCAAAATCAGAAACTCAAAGGCCAAATGTTTTCTCTCATATGCTAGGGTAAAGGAAAAGAAAGGGGAGGAAAGTATAGGATATAATAAAGATAAAAGGAAGATCAATAATGTAGAAGATAGAATGTGTGAGGCCCTGGGTTCGATCCCCAGCACCGAAAAAGGAATAGGAGATTGAGAGGCAGAGTGGAGGAATGGGCAATGCAGAATGAATTCTTTTATCATGTTATGTGCATATATAAATACATCACAGGGAACTTCACCTTTATGCGTAAGTAAAAAGAACCAATCAAATATAAATAAATAGATGAGCATAAGGAAAGTCTAGTAGAGAAAGGAAAATGGGGGAAGGGAGGGAAGGAGGAAGGGAAAAAGGGGGATCATGAATTGAAATTGAATTCCATGCATTTGTTTGTCTGGATAAACCCAACTACTATGATACTTCAACTTTATAACTAAAAAGCTCTAATAAAAAATATTTTTTAAACTTAAAAAACAACAATAATAGGGGAAGGGAGGGGGGATAGGAAGGGCAGCTGAATACAACAGACACTAGTATTGCTGTATGTATAAACATGGCTGTATAACCAATGTGATCCTGCAATCTGTACACGTGGAAAAATGAGAATTCATACCCCATTTGAATCAAATGTATGATATGTCAAGATCATTGTATTGTCTTGAGCAACTAATAAAAAAAACAATAATGGTGGATCAGATGTGGTAACACATACCTATAATCTCAGCTACTTAGGAGGCTGAAGCAGGAGGATCATAAATTCAAGCCCAGCCTGGGCAACTTAGGGAGACCTTGTTCCAAAATAAGTTAAAGAAGGGGCTAGAGAGGTAGAGCATCCCTAGGTTCAATTCCCACCATCGCGCGCGCGAGTGCGCACACACACACACCACAAAATGGGGGAAAAGAGAGGACAGTAAGTAAGCCTTTATAGATATCATGGTATAATGGACAAATCACCAAACTGGAAGTAAGGAAGCTTGATGTAGTTTCAGCTCTGCTACTAGCTGATACATACACGCATACTCACACACTCAAAAAAGTTAGAAAAGAAAAAACTCAATAAATCTATTTGGGATTCAGTTTCCCCAAATAAAGAAATAGGTAAATTGGATTACCCAGTTTGAAGTCTATAATTTATAAACAACAAACTGGGAGGGAAAAACATTTGGTGGATGATAAAGAACTAACTTCTTTAACTTACAAAAAATTCTTCCAAATGTATAATAAAAAAATAGAAAAATAAGAAAAAGATATATACATAATTTCCAGGAAAATTACTGTTAATATCAAAATGTGATCAAATTCACTCATAACTAAAAATGAACACTAAAGAATGAACACATAAAGAAATTAACACTAAAAAATGAGACACCACGTTTAAAAATTTATCAAAGGTAATGACTGATAATGCTTAGTATTGACCAGAAGGTGAGGAAACAGGAACTTACACTGTTGCGTTCTTGGTACAACTTTTTTTTTTTTTTTTTTTTTTTTTAGTTCTAGTTGGACACAATGCCTTTATTTGTTTTTATGTGGTGCTGAGGATCGAACCTAGTGCCTCGCACACACTAGACGAGAGCTCTATAACTGCTGAACCACAACCCCAGCCCAGGTACAACTTTTTCAAAGGGTAATTGATATTATCTAACAAAATGTTTAATTAATCCAATAGTTCCACTTCTAGAAATTTATCTTGTAAATATATTCAACTTGGGTGAGCAAGTTGTAAAGTTATGGTTTCAATGTTTGTGTATCCCTAAATTCATATATTTAGACTTAGTCCCCAGTATGATCATATTAAGAAATAGGGTCTTTGGGAGGTGATTGGGTCAAAAAGATTCTGTCCTCCTGAATGGTATTAGTGCCTCTATAGAAGAAGCCCAAAGGACACTGCCCTTTGCACAATGTCAGGATATAGCAATGAGGCACTTTGAAGCAGAAAGCCCTCATCAGATATCGAAATTGTTGGCACCTTGATCTTGGGCTTTCAAGCCTTCAGAACTATGAGCAATAAATTTCTATTGCTTATAAATTATCCAGCCTTAAGTATTGTATTAAAGCAGCCCAGGTGGACTAAAAGCAAGGACACCTACTTCAATAGTATATATGAATCTAAATATTCGTGAAGCCTGCTTAAGTATTATTGGTATATTCATAAAATGGAATGCTATATAGCCAATTACAGTAATGAAGTAATATTTTTACACTGACATGGTAAGATACTGAAAATATAGTGTTAAATGAAAACACTGAGATGAAAGCATTGGTGCATGCCTGTAATCCCAGCAACTTGGGAGGCTGAGGCAGGAGGATCACAAGTTTGAGACCAGCCTCAGAAATTAGTAAGGTCTTAAGCGACTTAGGGAGATTCTGTCTCAAAATAAAATAAATAAATAAATAAGAAAACAAATTTTTAAAAAGGGCTGTGAATGTAACTCAGTGGTAAGCACCCCTGGGTTCAATCCCCAGTACCCCAAAACATAAATAAAACACTAAATTATAAAACAGCATAATTCAAAAAGCATGTTTATATATTAGTAGAAAATGTCTAGAAGCATTAATAATAAATGGTACTGGGCAAAGGAGGAAAAGATTGACTTCCATTTTTTAAAAATAATTTTTAGTTGTAGTTGGACAAAATTCCTTTATTTATATTTATGTGGTGCTGAGGATGGAACCTAGAATCTCACACATGCTAGGAGAACGCTCTACCACTGAGCCACAACCCTAGTCCCTTGATTTCCATTTTTAACTGTACACACTTCTATTGTATTTTTTTTTTTTAATGGATACAGGGCAATGGGGTTGTGGCTCAGTGGTAGAGCACTTGCGTAGCATGTGTGAGGCACTGAGTTTGATTCTCAGCACCACATACAAATAAATAAAATAAAGGTCCATCAACAACTAAAAAATTTTTTAAAAATAAATGGATTAAGTATCTTTTTGTGTCTTTATTTTTATGTGGTGCTGAGGATCGAACTCAGTGCCTTAAAAATGTGAGGCAAGTGCTCTACCACTAAGCCCAGCCCCACCCCTTGTAGTTTTTTCAATAAATAAATTTTAAATAAAAACAATGAATCAATGATTTCAATGATTATTATAAAGAAGATAAACATCATAAAGCCAGTAACAGTAGGAGTTTGGGTTGTCAAGAAGGAAATTTCATCAACAACACCCAAGTCTCAAGTCAGTTCAAGTTTAGAATGGCAAAGAAAAGGGAAGAGACTGACTACAAGTGAGAGTGCAAGGCTGAGCAATGATTGTGCTGGTAAAGACAATAAAATTCCATGAAGGCAGAGTCTGTATCATATTCTTTCATGTGACAGCCCTTAACAGCACCTAGCAAACAGTATGCAAACTTAGTAAATGATTACTAAGTGAAAAGAAATAGTGAGGAGAATATCTGGTCAAGCTGCAATATTACAGCAGAGTTTTAAAGACATGCTGCTACCACATTTCAATTAATGTGGAAATACCAGAATTTCCTCAAGGAGTGTTTTTGTTTTGGTTTGTTTTTTGTTTTTGTCCTTGGGATTGAACCCAGGGGCCCTTAACCACTGAGCCACATCCCCAGTCCCTTTTTATATTTTATTTAGAGACAAGGTCTTGCTAAGGTGCTTAGGGCCTTGCTAAATAGCTGAGGCTGCCTTAAACTCATGATCCTCTTGCCTCACCCTCCCAAGTCCTGGGATTACAGACATTCACCACTGCACCTGGCTAATGGGTGGTTTCTGGACTGCTGATTTTCTTTAAGTTCATCCAGAGCCTTGGGAACTTGAGGAAGGAAAGAATCTCAGGAAGAACTAGGTAATAAGGAAAATAGGGTGCAAGTTCCAACGACTCATTTCTAGAAACCTACTCTGCCTTAGGAAAACATGGTAAGCAAAATAGCAGGGTAGTTAAAAGGGCTTTGATATTAGCATGGGTTCAAATTCCATCTCCACTCATCATTAGGCATACATTAGTTTCCCTCTCTATAAAATGGGGATAATAGTGTCCACAA